ACTTCAGATAACAGCGGCTATCTATTTCTATACTGCTAATGAGGCTGTGAGGGATGGGCTGCACTGTCGGGCAGATCTGTGGATACCCATGAGAGGTCCTATTGTGTCCAGATGACCATGGTCTTTCAGGGCGTCCAACAAAAGCACTGTTTAATCTTTTCCCTTTTTTATTACTGTCTCACCAAACTACAGCTGAACTCTTACAGTTAGTTGAGTTTATTGCACCATCAAGCACTGAACTCAGTGAAATTTCTTTTTATGTCTCACCTACATTGTTAAAAAAAAAAACAAAAAAAAAAAACAGCACCAGAATTATTTATTATTATAGGCTGCACATTTCATGATAATTAGACAGGTGGACAAAAGCAAACAAATGCAACTGCAAAGAAATATTTTGCTGCAAAATGTTTAGAGTAATGGTTTAATCTTGCAGGAAGCTAATCTCCCTTAATTTTTCACAGCTGCTACAGACACACTGTTTTTGTGTGTGTGACACAGATTGAGAGAGAGGTCCAAAAAAAAGAAAGATTCATAATACTCTACTGAGGGATGTGTTTGGGCCAATATTTACACTCTGTTTTAGTGTTGAGAATTGGGAAGGATCAGTCTCACTGAGCTCTTGATAGGATTACATGGTTATGTGTTTGAGAAAGAGACTCTGTGCGTGTGTGTAGGAGAGAGAGAGGGGGAGTGTGTGTACACACAAGTAGCAACCTCTAGGGTTGAAAAATCAAGCCAATGCAGAAGTGCCAAATACTGCAGTTCCTCTAATGGCCACTTGAGGCTGGCTCTAGAAGTGAGTCAATCCCCATAGACCCCTATCTTAAAATGCCAAACTTTACAGCAGAAATAAACATGTTTACAGTCTGGGTAATAACAAAGAAAACAGTTCTGGGGCCTGTATCACGAAGCAGGATTAATGTCTTAGCGAGGTAACTTCAGGGTTAACCCTGGGTTTTCGGTCTCATGAAGCCGGTTCAGTTCTTATCGGGGTAGATCACCATGGCAACTTACTCTGAATGGCTATCCTGCTCCGTAGCAGGGTAAGTTCAGGGTTGAATCTGATCCTATAAAAAGCACCACCCACTGGCCAATCAGCTGTTCGGAAAAAAATGACTCCGCTGACAGAAATGCAGCCCAGTCATGACGGGAAGTTTAATTAATTTGATTGATTTTGATTTGAAAGTTTATTTTGAACATTAAAAAAGAAAAGAAAGCAACAACAACAGACAATGAAAAGATTGTTCAAAAAGGAGTGGAAAGAAGTCAAAATTTCATCCCACCCCTTCATAAGAAAGAAACTGATCATTTGCGGACACTTAATAGCACCATTAATTAGTGCCAACATTTTTTTGTTGTTGGAGGAAATGATCCCTGTTAAAGATAATGGGCCTAATTGACAGCTTTGCTGCTGGAAATGTGGAAAGTAGCCTATCATGTCTACACTTCATGGTGTTTGAGGGATTTTCCTTTTTGTTTTTTAAAGAGGGAGACTAGGTATATTTTAGCGCAGCTGTTAATTTCTAACACAGCTCAATATCAGGATGATTTTATTCAGACTATCAATTTGGTGTTGATATGATTTAATTGTGACGTCAGCTTTAAGCTTTATTGTAGCATATATAACGTTATGACAAAGAAGACCAATTTATCAGACGCAATGATGTTAGACGATAATTGTAATACACACAATTCATCTGCGCAGCACTGATTTCATGGGATTCAAGGGTGTGATCAGTGTCAGATGTACAGGTACAGGTACTGTAGCTACTTGAACCAGTGATGAGTAATTTAACCTACACATAATTTTATTTGCTACCTTGTTTTGTCTTGATTTTTCCCTCTCTCCTCCTCTATTTCTTCTTTCCTCACCCATTTTTTTCCTTCTCTATTATGTGATTTCATTGATGTTTTGACAGGGGAATTTCTTTGATAAGCTTTTAGTGGCTTCTAACCTCTCCGGCACTTTTCTTTTTTTAATCTTGTAAACGTTATACTGTCTGTTTTTAACATTATGTGCAAATAAACTAATCTAAACTAAATCTAAACATTATTCATCCCTTTATGCGTTGCCATGCATGTTTCTTCCTCCTGCAGCTGCCACGGTGTTGGCCTTTTCTGTAATGTTGCTTTTCTCCTCCTCATATTTTAGTAGAATGATCCTCACGAGAAATACTTTTTTTTCCCTCACACACGGCGCTCTGTGAGGACGCTCAGTGAGGACACTCAGTGACGCTGCGCTTCTCTCATGATTGTGATTGGTTCGCTGCGTGCACGTTCGCGGCTCTTGATAAAGCAACTCTGGGTTGAGTTACCAAGTTGATATCCAGCGTCGTGATACTGATTATCCTGATTGCCATTGTCTGGGTAACCCAGGAAAGGTTGATCTCGCTTCGTGATACAGGCCCCTGGTCTCTGTTGCTAATTTCCCTGTTCATCGCAATTGTACAGAGTCTTTACAAAAGTTACCCGTTTCTACGTTATTACGGCTTAAAGTTATGCACAATTAAGAGAGTTACTGCTTTGAGTGACATCTGATGACAAGTTAGTATCTCAACGACAATGTTAGGTAATGTAGCCATGACATAACCCCAGAAACACAGAGTAAAGACGTAGTAATAGCTGATGCTATTTCAGTGTGTTTTCAGATCACTGATGTTTATTGCAACATTTTGGTCCACTAAAAAGGTCTAGTGTAGCGTTTGGTTGTCCTAAAACACCCTCTATGGAGTCGGATATGTTTTTATGGTAAGCACATTTTGTTTTAACGATTTTAAGCCAGTTTTACGCTTGCGAAAATTAGCAGTAACATTATCACAGTTAACCATATCTGTCAATGTACTGGCTAACCAAGCTAGCTAGGGTTAGGGATAATGTCACCCTCTTGTCGAAAATTTGGACATTTCTGGCTTCACAAATTCCAGCATGGCAACTAGGTGCCTTAAAATAGTGTGAGGTCTTGACGCCAATTTGACATAGTGGCCAAACGTAGTATTACAACTTCCAGATTGTCACGTGATGCCATGAGGACCAAAAATACTGTTTCCCATAGACTTACACTGTGGAAGAGACGTTTGTCAATCGGTGGATACATTCTTTTTTTTTGAGTGTCACGACCCCCACAGAGTTGTTTCAATCAATTATTTGCAATGTTACATGATAGTGACTTTCAGCATTTATCAAGAAAGGCAGAACGCACTTATTTTGGGGAACTCTGCCTCCAACCCCCCCCCCCCCCCCCCCCGCCAAAATATTAATTTAATTAAGAAATATGTCAAGAATAATTTTTGGATGCTACAAGTTCTCTTACCACCCTCAGGTGCAATGATTAAGCTCCACGCTTACCACTCTTACCCTGCAGGGATTTATTACATGAACTTCCTCTCCTTGTATGATTTGGAATACACAGACGTGATGTGTCTTTAATGAAGGTCTGTCCCAGTGGCTTCAGTATCAGCATTAGCAAATTAGTTTGAACTGGTTAAGTCAACCAGCATATAACGACAAATGTTTTTCTGTGCCATTACTCCAAGGGCTCTACTATGAACCAGTAATGAAATGTTTACACCCTGAATTATTTAAAGTCACTTTTGATCAGCCTTGCATATCTGTGAAGTTGTGTGGATCAAACACAAACACCCTTTGAAAATAAAATCTACAAAATCTAAATAAAATCAAGGCCAATAAATGCACCCATTAAAGACTTAACATACCAATGCAATGTTGTCATTTAGAGAATTCTAAACATCAAGGTCATAATCATATCATCATATTCTGTTTTCCTTGAACTCAGGGTTTAACTCATTTACTGCATCCCCGCCATCTTTACTCAGAACATGTACCAGATACTGAGTGATGGGCAGCTCTCCATGACTGCAAAAACACAGTGGGTGAGATTTTACTGTTAAAAAGATGTTGCTGATGTTTCCATAACAGTTACACCTAAACCATTTCCATATATGATCGAGCAGATTGTTTGACAAAGATAATTCCCACAGGCTCTCGTTTCTTTTTACAGTCACTTCCCCTGAGGACCTAAATCATTTCAATATGTTCCTGTGTAATCAGTGTATGTTTAACATCCCACCTCCCTCCTTTATCCCTCCATTCATCCCTTCTACTTCATCTCTTAACCACACACTGTCATCCCTACCATCTCTCCCCGGCACCTCCAGGTTCTCCTAATTAAATTACCATTTTATTAGTTCTCACTATTGCCTCAGACTGCATTTACCCAGAAGGTTAATTAAACCTGGATGACCTGGCCTGAACTGATAATAAAATAGTCTGTGGTGCTCGTGGTGGCAGAGGAGAGGAGAGGAGAGGAGAGGAGAGGAGAGGAGAGGAGAGGAGAGCGTAGGCTGAACAAGTATAATGGCAGGTTTTATGTCATAAAAAATGTCTATCAAGTTAATATTTGGTGGTTTCTTTTAGTTTAAGAGAGTTATTATAGACACTGATGTTTCCCACACTCATTGTATTACACCACATTACAAAAAATCCAATAATAATTGCTTGTTTAGGAACACTTGAGGTTTATTTGTCAGTTGCTTATTTGTTTTGTAACTTCACGTACAGTGAATTAACAGAGTATTACGAAATGCATCCAAAGACTAATTAGCAGCTCACAATCCCCCATCTCCTCTTCCTTATCTGCATTTATCTTTCATGAATGAAAAGGATTTAATTGCTTTCAGCTGGTGTGTTTCACTGGAGATTAATGGCACTGTGTATTTTTGTTAATGAAATCATTACGTAACAAGCTCTGACTCACTGAACTTTTTAAATGCTACAAACCCAAACCACCCGAGGCATCATAGATATGAGGCACCTCTAGTTTGCCAGTATGTTATTTTTCACCCCATGCTGTCACATGCAATCCACTGATCGCATGACTGACGTGAAAAAATTCAAGTGGATGAGTTCACATCATGTCAAATGTGTCACTGAGGCATTTCCTCGGGGAAATAAAACTAGAAAATAGAAGGATGTGAACTCACCCGGTGTGCATGAAAATGTAGCTGAGGTACCTCCAGGCCTGGGCACGGAGCTGGGGGTGGTAAGGTAAGGGGCTCTTTAGGAAAAACGGGCTGGACACCTGCAGTACCAAGCGGTCCAGCTGGAACCCATAGTACATGAACACGGCCACCTGGGAGAACACACATGGATAAACACAGAATGTGTGATTTCAGGAGGAGTGGTATCAGTATACACACCTCAATAAACACTGTGAAATGAGGCTCAGCATCATAAATCAGAACACACTGCTCTAGTAATAAGATGAAAGTTGAAACACAAACTTAATTTCTTTATTATCTTCAGGCATCATTAGTCACATTACATTATTACTCGGGAAAGAAAAAACAATCCTGGCATCAAAAAGCTAGTGTCAGTTTTCTAAGAGAAGATGATATTTCTTGAATATTTCAAAGTAATCTGTTTTAATTGGAACACAGATAATGATATTGGATGATTTAGAAGTTGGAGGTTATTGCAGCAAGCCTAAAAAAAACCCCAACCTTAAAATAATGTAAGCACATAATGACTTGTAGGAAGTGATACTTCTGCAGAGCATCACAGCCTATCATGCATGCCTTTTTGTTGCTTTATTATTACATATTTAAAGGTACCCTGTGGAGTGTTTCTCACTAAAACACACAGCAAAAGTTATGAAGTTATGAAAGCATTCCCATCCTCATAAAATATTTGCAAATTGTATTTTTTTTTTATTTTGAAACCTGCAGTCTTTACATCCATATTACTTCAGCTAACTGCCTCCTCTTTCCTTACTTTTTCTGGTGCATTGCTATGTTTCTTGCTGTGTTACAGCACTTACTGTTATTAGTGGAATAATGCAAAGGACATCATACCATAACTGACATGGCAAATCTTTGTGGTAAATGACATGCATGCACTGCACGTTTGCACGGCTTAGTTGCCAGAAGAACATGCTGACATTGAATGATTCTGCAAACCACAAATAAGTTACATTTGTACATTTCATACATATATCAATGTTTCTAAAGTGACATATTGCTGAGCTTGTCATCGGGAGGTTGAGAGGTTGGAGGATGGCGTGGCTTCTGTAGACCACTGTAGACCTCAGTTCAAAACCAACAAACAATATAAGTGGTTGTTTTTTTAGCGGGTCACTGTTGAGGTGTTCTTTTAGTGACCTGTCGCTGCAGGGGCGAAAATCCCATTTCATAGTTGGGGTACAATAAACAGTAAAATTTTAGAGAATAATTCCAGGGGGGGACAAGGAAAAATAGTTGTGGCCTGTCTTTTATGCAACATCTTTTACCGCAATTTGACGCTTTAATCTTTTCTCTATCTCTCCAACAGTCAGGCATAGGACCTTTCTTAGCACTGGCTGAGTCCACCTGCACATGTCCAGATTTAAAACAAAATGATTGAAATCAAATTAACATGTACACAACGACAACAGTCAGGTGCGCCGTGCTGTCCAAGGTGCTGAGTGTGTCTGGAGCAGAGCAGGTCTCTGTCTCCCCGTGCGCGGTAGTGTGAATATTTATGCTATTAAGTAAACGGAGAAAACATGTCTCTCATTGTTTAATAGCAGCAAAACAATAAGGCTTCATTCATCAAAGAGCGAAACTCGATCTCTCTCCTTCTCTCCCTCTTTTTCATCTGGCTCTGTCACAATCCCTGTCTCTCAGTCCTCTCCTGCCACTCTGCTGCAGTGTTTTTCCACTCCCCCTCCCTCTGCTTCACTCTACCTGCCAGCCGCGCCCACCTCATCAGCCCAACTCTGCTCACCTGCCTACACAGCTGCAGCTCATCAACCAGCCCTGCATATAAGCCTCTCCAGCACCTTCACTCACTGCCAGATTGTTCTTTAGCATTATGCGAGACTCTCCAGCGTTCTTCTCCTGCCTGATCTCCCGGTGCCAACTCTGCCTGTCCCCGACCTGCTCCCCTCGTCTGCCTCCCGGTAAACTCACCTGCCTTCTGTCCCCGACCTCGTGCTTTGCTTCAGCGTCTCTGGTTTCTGCCTGCTCGTCTGGTCTCGACTCCTCCGCCCGGCCTCGTCTACCCTCCTGCCTGCTCCTCAACGGTGCTTCTGCCTTCGCTGACGGCTCTTCTAGCTACGACCCCCCCACCGGCTCCCGACCTCGCCTCAGCTCACTCCTCGTCGGCTTCTCAGCACGATCAGCCGGCACTTCAGCCTACGGTGCGTCTGCCTCGCCACCTTTGGCTGCCGTAAGCTTGATCTCTTTCCCTCATCTGAGCCTCAGAGACTGTGTGAGGGCAACTTGCCCGAAGAACGAACTTTATTCTGTGTTTATTCTGCCTGCTGCATTCCCTGTTTGCTGTGGTGCTAATAAAAGTCATTACCAACTGTTCCTGCGAGCCTGGTACTGCATTTGGGTCCACAAACACACCCGTTTCAGGCTCAGGTGTGTGGAATAGATCCGTCGTCTCTGGCTGGCTGCAGGAGCAAACCGTTTTGTTTGTTTTTTTCGTTTTTTTACCGGCAGTGAGATAAACATTTCCTGCAATTAAACTGGTGAACTGGTTTATAAACAGTGTGCTGTGAGATCTGCTGCTGCGCACCTCAAAACCGTGCATAATTATCGCGCGTAATGGCCACTCCTCGTCAGTTAAACTGCACGTCTGTCATGTTTGTCTCACTGACAGGTGGAGAGCCTACAGATATTAACTACGAGCCGCTCCGTCACTGACTGCTCTTGTCCTGTCCTCTCTGACTATCACTAAACTCTGGCTTTTGAACAATGCAGGATAAATGTTGCAGACAGTTTATATTATCAGCCTGGGCCTGGGGCTTGTTGTAACAGTACATGGGATGTGTTGTAACTTGTGTAAGTTAAACTGTATCTGTGAGTGTACATCTTACCCCGCGCGATGTGGGCAGCCGGGTCCAGCCACACGCTGCTACTGCTGCCAAGTACTAACGGCTGCTAATCCCACCCGTTGGAAAGAGTGTGGGATATACCACTACTAGGAATGGGAGGGGGGGACTAAATCTTTTAAGATTTAAATAGCACATCATTGCGCTTTTATAATGAGCACCGCTTACATTGTGCTTTTAATAAATACTACTGCATTGTTCAAAAATTATTAATTGTGTCTCAAATTATTCTAGGGGGTTACAGCTTTATTGAAGGGGGAGTCATGTCCCCCCGTCCCCCCCGGGATTTCCGCCCCTGTGTTGCTGCATTTCCTGCCAGGATAGTGTCACTAGAAGCGGTTGTTTTTTACACAGTGTTGTTAAATTGAAAAGTTCCAATATGTCTGCTACGTAATAATGTACAAATGTAACGTATCTGTGGTTTGCAGAAATGTACGATGCCAACATATAGTCTGGCGATTTGGTTCATTTGCATGAGCACCTCTTGCAGTTGGCAGGATTGTTAACTCAGCATGCTCAAGTGCATACATTGATGTATCCTTGTGTGCGGGCCTGCTTATCAAAACATAGCTCCGTAATGAAGCAAGTGGTTTGAAACTCTGCAGCATAACTTTTACAAGAGACAGGTTCAGAGCACATTTTGGACTCAGGCTCCCAAACAATTTACCTCAGCAATGGTGATGGCCAGGATGAGCCATGGTGGGGGACAGTAGGTATAGCTGTCAAAGTACCACTTGCGGTCGACCTCGCGGGGCAGCGTCTCATAGGCGACGTGTCGGACCAGCCTCTGAGACAGCCCCAAGCCCGCCTCATCTCTGAGACTGCAGCCTTTTAGCTGCCTGCTCCCCTGCAGGATGGCCCTGCGGAAACTGTTGGAGCGCTTGTTACTCATCTGGAAGAAGGAAGAGAGGAAGGTGATGAGGGGGATGAAAGGGAGATGCAGGGAGGATGAGGGTTAGGGGCAGAGAGAGGAGGAAGGCCATAAAGGAAGAAAGAGAGAAGGAGGGGTGAAAGCTTTATTATCAATGGTTCAGCATGTTAACGACCATTCTGTTATATTTAATACTTAATATTTAATGATCATTTCGAGGTATTTCATTTTATAAAGTATATTCCTCAATGCACAGCTGGAGTCTCAACACACTCTGGGTACAGGCTACACAGTCCTCCTCAGTCCAGCACACTGACGGACCCCTCCTACCTCGCCACGGCAACAGAATGCCTGTATCATCACCTAGCAACCACCAAGCCCCTCTCTTAATCCCTCTATGTCTATGAAGAGTTAATTTTCCAAACATGGGCGGGGACCTCACAAGCAGTTCATCATTCAGAGAAGATCTCTGCCGTCAGAATCATTATCAATATGAAACCTGACGAAATGACTTCTCTGCTCTCATTTCAAAAGCGCTGCCATCTATTTTGATTTAGTGCAATCGTTTTTATAGCACAGGTGTCTCATTTTTCAAATGGTGGGCTGCTCATTTTCAAACACACTCACACTCACAGTGCAGATATATATAGACAGCCAAAACGCACACACATGCACACATTTTCAATCAAACATACGCGCACAAGCCTGACACACAACAGTGAATATGTCCGCAGAGAGGATTTGAAGGATGTTTTTCCAATTTTAAATCTCATGCTAAAATTATTCTTGGACCTCCCATGGACCAAGAGGTCAGTTACAGACAGAGAATGGCAGAAACATGTCCTTGACTTTTAGATGCAGAAATAATGAAAGCATGTGCTTTAATTTTAAACCTCAAAGCAAGGGATGAAATGTTCTCATCATACAGTGAAATTACACTTTATCTGAGTGCACCAGCTAGAATCTACAACTAAAGAAGGATATATATATATATTTCATCACTGACAATGTTCCTCATTGAGGGGCAACAATTCTGTAACAGACCAACAAATGGGTGGGAAAAGTAAGAGTATGTAGATGTTGCAGCAGCTAGTATTAAAGCTGGGGAAGGCAGTTTTATTTTGGTGTCACTTGGCAAAAATCCCATAATAAACTTTGAGTATAATGTTTTTCAAGTGGACTGAGAGACAGCTAGATGTTTGCACCTCCTCTTGGCTCTGCTTTCAGGCTGTAGAACATTTAGCCTGTGACAGGAGACTTTGGCTAATCACTACAGGTGGGAATTTATCAGAGGATCCACAACACAATATTATCACGATACTTAAGTCACAAAACTGGGAGGTCGTGGGTTCGATCCCCGGCCGGGTCATACCAAAGACTATAAAAATGGGACCCACTGCCTCCCTGCTTGGCACTCAGCATCAGGGGTTGGAATTGGGGGGTTAGATCACCACATGATTCCCGAGCGCGGCACCGCTGCTGCTCATTGCTCCCTCAGGGGATGGGTCAAATGCGGAGAACAAATTTCACACACTCAGGTGTGTGACAATCAGTGGAACTACTTTAATCTTTAAAACAATATTATGGCAATTTTAAAAATGTTGCGACATGCTGAGTGTTGCAATAAAATATATTGTGATATATTGTGATTTATTACCTTTTTTCAACTGTCTCTGAAGGAAAACTGTTTCATGTAATAAGATAAGGTTTTCAGTTTGTTCATCTCACTTTAGCAATTTTTTGCAGCAGTAAAATGTATCTAGTGGACTGAAAAAGCAATTGATTATATCATTCTAGTAGGTTCCCTTAAGTCTAATTTGTATTTGTAATATTA